CATCCCTCCCAACTCAAAGCCCTATCTATCATTACCCCCAACTCCCCAACTCCCCAAACATCAAACGAATTACCTACCTAGGTATCCATATTCGATATCCATATCTATATCCACCAATATCCACGATAGATGCATATTTCTCCACCTTCATTTTTCGCATTTTCTACATTTTCTACATTTTCTGCAACTCTGAAAATTAGTGATTAATAATAATAAATTTCTGTACGAGAAAAATAAAGATGTATCTGCTCTTCCCACATCCATCCATCCATCTGTCTATAAATCACGACGCTTTGAAAATTCTTACAAAGTAAAAATCACCAAAAACATATCGACGTCGGCATGATTCGAACATGCGCCCCCGAAAGGAATTGATTTCTAGTCAATCACGTTAACCACTCCGTCACGACGCCCGATTGGATTTGTTGTAGAGGAGATGCATTAGATATATTTTAATACCATCAATGTTCAACTTTTCTTGTTCTTCTCTTAATTGTGTCTACTATGTAGCTTCAATATCCGAACGAAACTCAGTATTGAGACTATCGCCCTTGCAGTTCATCATTTTCTGGATCTTGTAATTGCTGCAGTTAGTAGTTGTGTAGTTGTGTCAACTCACCTGGGTTGGTGGACTCTCTTCCACCGTCTTGTTTTTACATTTAGGCTTGGAGTATCGATATGCTTGGTAGGGAGATAAATCGATACTCCCGAGTCGCGATTGAAGTAAGATCTTACATGATGAATTGATGGTGAAAGCGATGACATCGCGAATGCTCGCTCACCAGCAAATAGCAGGGGTGCCCTTCTGACTTCAATATATTCATCAGTGGTCAGATATTGAAAATATTAAAGATCATGTCATCAGACTGACTAAAAAGCAATTATTCGTTCATCTGGGTTGGCCAAGTGACTTTTAATTCCAATTTAAAGGTGGGTGCTTTGACTTCATGACGGCGTTGAGAACTACCGAGGAGTGTCGAAGACCTCAACCAAGGTATTACACATGTGCCGAATCTCAAATATTATGAGAGCCCAAGATGTGATGAAGTAGTCAGGCTTATGGAGAAGCATTGGTTGTGTGGCAAATTTGCAGACAGTTTGAATGGAGACAACCTCACTGAGAGTCAGTCCATTCCGGCACTCGCGGTTTAATGGTTGTTGTGTGTACTTTCTTCAGATTGATGATCTCCAGGATAGAAATGAACTACCACAATTAAACCCGGCAGTCCGAATAGAAGCTTTCTCCATGAACATATCAGTACCCAATTTTGCAACATTCACAATTAACAATGGAACCTCTTTCACGTTTCATGATGGAAATCAAGTGGTGATGAGACCCAAGCGCAAGAGGCGATGGTTCATGCTTTATCATAAATATGTTGTGTAAATGTCAATCTTTTGGATGATACCGTGAGACACTACGCCTTGCGTATATCTATGCCACGAAAGCACGAGTCGGATCACGACACGAGAAGATACCACACTTTGAACTCAACGTTATAACTTGGCGAGGCTGCATACTAATGCGAAAAATCACAAAGATCTTCTTCAGCCTTTCCGCAAGAGAAAGATGACTCCGGCAGAGAATGTATTGAATGAAGGTGTAAGGTTTACCGTGAGACAACCCAACCCAAACAGCGGCAGATCAACAGACTATCCATATTGGTAATGATTACAATCTATTATCTTTCAAGTTTCACCTATCCACTAAGATATGATTGGTAAAGATTTTTAAGGGTTCAACTCCGTGAGGTACGATATGTCATAGCCTCAACGCCATGGAAGTAGAAAAGATAGCGACGTGGTGGTTGCAATATCGATGTTGGCGCATCTGAATATGGCAATAATCGACATTGATATGGTATCAACTGTGGATCTTTCGGGAAGTAGAACTACTTACGATGTACGACAACGCCCCCCATGAACCTGTCGAAAAGGATGTTGGGCACCGTGATATGTTGCAGAAAGTAGGGTCTTTGCATGATACATACTCTGTACATTACCATTACCGCCACAATATGTACCGGATCATGATCCATAATTCTTCACAGAGTAGTCGGTATGTTAGTATGATATGCCACAGCGAGAAGGATTAGAGAGAAGGGCAAGGTGGCGACCTCAGCTGTTGGTATCGACCTAGGTATGTAGATATAATGAGAAAACAACACAGCCGCGTTGTGTTTCAAGAAACGAAAGGAACTGCAAGTTGACCCACCGATTAAGATGTTGAAAGGATTTAGATAGCATCGTCTCGTCCAAGAGTACAGGCACGAGTGACGATAGCGACCGAGGGTTTTCTTCACACTTCCATATATGGTGTGAAGTTGGAAGATCAATCATCCATCATCCAAACGAGGAAACGGAAATACCGGATGGTGAGTCTAATATATTTTATTGGCGGCAATTAGTCAAATTGAGAGACATGAGTGATGAATAGGTATTGGATGAGGGGAGAAGAGGAGGAGAGGAGGAGGAGGAGGAGGAGGGGATATTTTGAATATGGATGATACTCGAGTACGTAAACGTAAGATTATGTATCATGTATGATGTGATCTTGGGGGTAATTAATATGTATTGGGTGTACTGGGTGTACCTGGGTTATTTACTTATCCTATCTATATAAATATATTATGATTTTCTTTCCTCACGAGTGTAATTAATGTATGGGAAGTATATTTTTATAGAAATTGAAGCCATGCTAGTAGAGGATGATGTATACAGACAGACCATACACAGTGGAAGAGATAATTTATGATATATCGACCTAATTAATAAATCCATTTTATGACCTTTAATATGGTCGGGGATTAATTACGAAGTATATCAACAGCATCAAGTACTAGGTAGGTATCATCCATCATCAATCATCAATCATCCGGGAATCAATTTCCATCTCTTTTTTCCATGTGCACTGACATCATCGTCACCACCACCAAAAGTCCGATGCGATGTCTACGGAAGTTTTGCGACCCACGCCGACCCATAAACAACAAAACGCCTGCCTATGTAGCATGTACCTCCCTCTGCACCCAAAATCAACCGTTTTGTTTCCATCATCATACTTTGCACACCAGCTCTTTCCACCCTTCACTCAACCCTTGACCCTTTCTGCAGATCTTGCGGAGATTCATCAGAAGGGAGATGATACAACTTTTTTTTTCCCTCCATATTTTTTCATAGTTGACTCATTCTAATTAAAAAGAGTGAGAGGAGAGAAGGGAAGAGAAAGGAAAAGGAAAAGGAAAAGGAAAAGGAAAGAAAATTTTACTTTGATAACGAAGATGGAAATAACAAAGAGATGAATAAATAAATAAATAAATAAACAAGATAAATAAGATAAATAAGATAAATTATTACCTATATAGGGATACAAGAGACAAGTACTAGGAGGGAAGGGGGGATTCATTCTTGACTTCACTCTTATTACTCTCTATAAGGTTGTTAAAGTCGACTTTACTTTTGTCTTATACCAAACTTCACCTTCTCTTAAAGTAGACTTTACTCTTCTTTGATACGAAACTTCACTCTTCTTATATCAAACTTCACTCTTCTCTTATATCACACTTCACTCCTCTCTATCAAACCATACCTCACTCGTCCTTGACATAGCAAAATATATTCTTTATACCTACCTACCTACCTACCTAAATATCTAGTATTGAAGTTTATTCTCTTTCATATCTACTACTACTCAGTATCTTATCGTACATTCCCAAGAACATCCTCTCACAACAAGGTCCAAGGAACAAAATCAACCACCAAGAATCATCCATCCTTCATCACCACCACCCATTTATCACATCCAAACCATCCATCAATCAGATCAAGAGACAAGAAATACACAAGCCTCCCCCAATTTGATTTCGGCACCAAGATCCGAAACATAATCACATTGGGCTTGCCGTTATTTCCTTCCCATCCCACACACTTTCCCTTTTCTTGATTAGACCTTTGGATTTTCATAAGCATTAACGGACGAATACATGAAAAGAGGATCTAATCACTTACGACTAACGACGATCTTACCTTCTCCCTTTCCTTCCCCAACGTTGTGAAGAGAAGAGTAAAGCAAGAGACACACGTTCAAGACGAGGCAGAAGAGAAAGTTTAAGTCTTCTACATATATATACCAATACCAATATACATATACATATACATACACATACACATACACATACACATACACATACACATATACACATACACATACACATACATACACATTTAACCAACCATATGGTTCATATCACACAACGACGAATCCTCACACGCTGCACAAAAAAAGATACGAAACTCACAAAACGTACGAATATCCACGCCAATAAGCTATAACCATCCATAACTAAACTATAACCCTTGGGAAAAGTAAGAGAGTGGACAGCTTTGATTGACTTAGCACCACTTACAAGTTACCACTTACCACTTACCACTTACCACTTACCAAACCCAATTTCGTACTCGAGCACTCGTCGGTACCGCTTCATCACTTGACTTTGAAGTTTCATCCATCCACCAATTACCATTCAATCAACTATTGGAATGACCCCAGTGTGATTAGATTACCTTGCGCAAGACCCTCCGTCTACACTTGGGTAGATCACGATTCACGATTCACGATTCACGAATTAACTCAATTTACGATTCAAGGTAGCTAGCTACTTGGGTGCATCGCTACTAGCTACACACACACACACGCACACACACACACACACACACATAACCAACTGACCTGACCGAACGAAACGGACAAGCGATTCCTACGCCAAGAAAAAGAGACCATCTGCATTGCCCCAGGAAATTCAAATCCGAACTAAATACCTACTTGCCTACATACCTACATACCTACCTACCTACGTATCTACGTATCTCTCTCTCTCCCTCCCTCTCTCCCTCTCTCCCTCTCTCCCTCCCTCTTTCCCTCCCTCTCTCCCTCCCTAGTTATATATATGAATGTAAAAAGAGAATTACCCGCCGACCGTTTGTCTATACTTTTACACAAAATGGCCAGTCATCGTTCCTATAAGACCTCTTCTTACTTTCCTACAAATGGGAGTCGAGACGCTTCTCATCGTCCTCATACCAAACCATCCTATTCATCTTCTTCCTCGGATGAAGATATTATTGCATCATTGAAAGGTCTTGCCATACAATCCAGGACCAAAGAAATCACGAGTACTAGTAACAGTAGTACAAACTCTCCACGTTGCGGTACTCCCGGCACACAAGGTATGTTACGCTTTTACTTTTCAGTGCAAGCCTTTCCCGCATTCTATTAAGCTGCCCCGCCACCACGTACAACTTAGCAGAAAAGGGTCCAAGCTAACTCGTGATTTGGTAACTATAAAGTTGAAACGATCTCTACGACACTCAATACGACATTCGACACTCCAAAGAAAAGCGATTCCATTCCAATTTCCGGCTCTCAATCGACAAGACGAACTCGCGTTTACACTCCATTGACAGGTCGTGGAGAATTACCAGGGTAAGCATGATTTGATTGTCGTACCTCGAGTGTCTGAATTGAGCATGAAGGCATAGCAAGGTCCATGCCAGGAAGTTATTGTGGCATTGTTGTTCTGACAAAATGATTTATAGAGGATATTTTCCCGGATTTGCAGACGAAAACCCAGAAACTCTCAAATCAACCGTTCTACTATCAACTTCACGTTCGAGAAATTCACCAGAAATGCAACCAATTACGATATCTTCCATGTCGTCACCAATGGATTCACCAGCTTCTGAGACCACTATTCGTGGTCCTCCTTCGATTGTCAACTCTCCATTTACCTTGCCAGAAACTTTAGTTATCCCAAAAGGAAAATACTATCCTTCAAACTATAAGCCATCGCCAACATCTCCCCTCCCGGCACCTCTCACGAGCATCCCTTCGTCAATATTAAATGGTGGCAATCTTCAACTTCCTCCCAAAAGTCAACGTCAAAAATCTTCCAATCCGCATCATCAAAGGAAATCCTCAGACGTTAAGCGAAAACTACAAAAGTACCAGAAAGATATGATTGAACAAGCACGTATGGTACATGCGTCCGTAGTTTCGACTCCCGGGCAATCCGCACCAGGATCAAAGCCTATCAGTCCTAGATTACTTCCTTTGGGTAGTCCTGGTCCTATTACACCATTTGAATTGGAAGAAAGTTCTGGGTATTTGATTGCCGGTCAAATGAGATCTGGCGGATTAGCTGAAGGTGGATTGATGGAGAACGAAGCAGTTGCGAGAATGATTCGAATGGAAGAAGAAAGACGAAGACGAGAGGGGCAAAGTTCACCAGCTGCTCGAGTTTGAAGGAGTTCGGAACTCTTGAACAGGATGGGCGTGTTCAGCCACACGGTTTCTTCCGACATTTCCGGAGAACGATCAACTCCTTCGATCACGATTCACAAGATTATGCATGGGACATTTCGCATTGAGCGATTGCATCAAAATACCCCGCACATTTCATTCGGTTCCCCACACTTTATCAAGAAAAATATTTCTTGATGCTTTGCATGAAGTTCCCCCACAAAATATATCACTCTACACGTCAGCACGTACCGGATATCCCTTCACACTTCTTGTTTCAACATTCATCACGCATCAGATACTTTTTCACTCTTCTTGTTTCGACATGAATCGCACGAATCACGAATCATTCACGGCCCCTTTTCCTTTGTCAATTTGATATCCAATACTGTTTTTACCGCATGTCACATGGTCAACCAATAAGAATTGACTAAACTCTACTCATTCTTTTTATCTCTGACCTAAATACCAAGTGCTGGTATGTTAGCTTTACTTTTTGCATTCTCTCGCGTTGGGGGTCTTTAGGTTGTAGTCTTTTTTCCCTTTGGTTTCGTTTAGCATGGTTATAGAGTCTGGATTGGGATAGGTTGGCTAGGATGGGGAGGAGAGGAATCTGGGTAGGGTTTGGCGTTGCTGGTCAAAATCAAATCTTACATATGGGATTTCTCATTTTGAATCGGGGGAAATTATAGATTGGGGGTGGGCTGGGAGGAAATGGAATTTGTTGAAAATGCTAGATGCGTGTTGAGCGTTATCTTGCTTTGATGGGGGTGGGATAGGATAGGATAGGATAGCATAGCATAGCATAGCATAGGATAGCAGAGGATGAAAAATAGCTTGAGAATTCATTATATATTTTATAGAGTATTCATGAGACTGTTTATGCATGTGTGAGTTAACTTATTTTTGTGTCTGTGTCTGTGTCTGTGTTTGTGTATTCTTGAGAGTGATGATGATGATGATGGTGATGGTGATGGTGATGATGATAATAATGATAGTATAGAGTATATAAGTATTATAAGGCTAAATTAAACTTGAGCTGAAGTTGAAGCTGAAGTGGAAGTTGATATGCATACTAGATATAGGTATACTATACCTACCTACCTACTTATATATATAGAGAGAGAGAGAGAGACTTGATTTCACTTGACTTGACTTGACTTTAATTAAATCTAATAAAATCTAATATAATCTAATATAATCTAATATAATCTAATGTAATCTAATAAAATCTAATATAATCTAATATAATCTAATAAAATCTAATAAAATCTAATAAAATCAAGCTCGCTCAAATCATAGCTGTAGCTGTAGCTGTAACCTTGGAACCTGGAACCGTATAAGAAAAATAGATAGATAGAGGAGAGGAGAGGAGAATTTAGATAGAGGGAGAGGGAAAGGGAGAGGGAAAGGGAGAGGGAGAGGGAGAGGTAGAGGGAGAGGTAGAGGTAGAGGTAGAGGTAGAATTAATTTGGGAGTTTGGGAGTTTGGGAGTTTGATAGTTTGGGATTGGGATTGGGATTGGGATTGTTAGTGTGTGAAGAGGTGGTAGATGGTAGATGGTACTAGGTAGGTATGTGATGGTTGGTTGGTTGGTTGATAGTGGAGATGATGATTGGATTGTATGTCTCGTTCGTTTGGTCTTAGGCTATTGCTTGGCGCTGCTATTGCGATGACTCTTGGCGCTGCTCTTGGGATCTATTGGCGCTGCTATTGGCTTGCACTCTGTGGTTTGCATATGTGGTTTGGTTTGGGGTGGGTGACGTGGTCGTGAGTGGTGGTGAGTGCTAGCGTGGCTGAGTAGGTGGATGCGTCGCTGCATGCGTCGCTGGCTCCTCCGGCTCGTCGCTGAATCTCGCATGGCTTGGATTCGGATTTCTATCGAATCAATCGAATCTATGCTATCTATCATATCCTTATCATATCCTATCATATCCGATTCTCTATTCTTTTGTAAATATATATATATATATATATATCGAAAGATTTCAAAGTAATATATATAATGATATAATATGACCACTCAAGATGATTAGATTTCCGAGATCTATCTAGCTTCATCCCCCATTACACAGCTCTACTAACGATTTAATAGGCTGTCTTTACTATAGATAGATAGATAGGTAGATATCTAGGTATCTAGATATCGTTGTCAAGGTGGATGGATGTGCTGATGTACTTGTATACATATAACAGATGAGATGTGGAATTTCGAATGAGGATGAGTATGAGCATGAAGATGTTGTTGATTTCTTTAGATGATTGAAGTGTTTTGAAATGGAGATGGAGATGGAGATACAGAGGTTTTTTTATCATATGATGGATGGTGTTCTTCATGTTGATAATCTAGCTCTGAGATTTATTTGTCTATCAGCTCTTGATTCAATTGGCGGCTTCCAGTTTCATATCTTCCTTACTACCCTATTCACTATCCTCTACTTTCTCTCCCTCTCCCTCTACCTTCCCCCCACCCCCCTCCTCCCTCTTCCCATTTCCATTCCCATTCCCATTCCCCTCCCCCTTCTTCCCCGCCCTCCCCTCAAAACTCAACACCGCCATCCCCAACACCTTCCCCTCCATCTTGACCCTCTCCCTCGCGCCCTCCACCCCCGCCACAAACTCTCTAATCCTCGCAATCACCCCCTCCGCCTCCTCCACCGACGCCTTCCTCCCCTTCTTCTTCCCCGCCAAAATAACCTCCACCTTATTCCCCCGTTCCAAAAACCCCCTCATCTTCTCCAACCGATGTCCCAAATCATTCCGCTCAATCGCCCAATTCATCTCTATCGTCTTCGTCACCGTCCCCGGATTCTTACTCTTCTTCACCTCCTTCTTCTTCTGAAACAAGTCCCGCTTATTCACAATCCGCGCAATGGGCGCGAGCCCCTCGTCCGACAAGGCAATCACCTCCAGCATGTGGGTTTTGCGATCCACGGAGCGGAGAATCTGCGCCGTGCGCACCGGAGCGTCGAGTTTCCCTTCGGCATTTTTGAGTCGCAGAAAGGGCGCCGTGATTTCCGTGTCCCGCGGAAGACGCTGTTCGGCGACGGCGGTGGAGGTGCTTTTGAAGACGCTGCGGGTTTGGATGCGAGTTTGCAGGTGGGAAGAGGAGGAAGAAAATATGGGGGAGTTGCGTAGGAGGGATGTTGATGCCGATGCGGATGTGGATGATTCGATAGGGAATCCCGAGAGGAATACTCGACGAAGAGCAGAAGCTGCGTTGAAGACGCAGCGGGGATTCGTCATAGTTGGTATTCGTATAGATGGGGTATGAGACTGTGATGAAGCTTGAGAGAGCTTGTGTTGTAGATGCCAGACGAGAAGAATTTATTGTGATGCGTGATTATGTAAGCGTATTCGTTCTGCATCGTCATATCACGGGGAAACAAAATATTCTTTATTTACAAACGACTTTACAGCCTGCGCAAAATTACTTATTTAATAAATTACCTACTTTTGTAAATATAAAGAAAAAGCATGTCATGATATTCAAAACACTCCTCCGACCACTCCCCCCTCGCCTCATCCATCCCTATCCCATCCCCAACCATGTCATCAACCAGCGCATCTCCCTCTTCCCGCGCTCCATTAGTATCAGCGCCGGAAGAGGAAAAGGAGGAAGCGAAAACCCCAAGCACGCCTCGCACCCCCTGCGCATCCTAACCTGGACCCTCAAATCACTCTTCATCTACCATCTCTTCCACACCTACATCTATTCACTCGAGACGGGATCTGGTCCCTCGATGCTCCCCACCATCTCCGTGTCCAACGATTGGTTTCTCATTTCGCGGGCGTATCGACGCGGCCGCGGCGTCCAGGTTGGCGATATCGTTTCCTTTGAATCGGTGGTTGAGCCCGGTCAAAAGGCTTTCAAGAGAGTTTTGGGGTTGGAGGGGGATTGCGTTATGATGGGGACGCCGGGGAGTGGGGAGACTCAGATGATTAGAGTGAGTTTTTAAGGCTTGAAGGGAAAGCGAGGGGATGGCTTGAAGGGAAGCGCTAATGATTTATAGATTCCTGAGGGACATTGTTGGGTAGTGGGGGATAATTTAGAATGGTCGAGAGATTCGAGGATGTTTGGTCCGATACCCATGGCTTTGATCAAGGGGAAAATCGTCGCTAGAGTACTACCGTGGAGCGAGAGAAAATGGTTCGAGAATGATCTGCAACCAGTGGGAGATGGCCATTGAAACTTTGATGTAGTCACAAAAAAACAATCACCAAGTATTAAGAAGTTAAATAGTCATGCCTGACTGATCAATGTCATGTGAGAGTTCCGACTATTTCGAGCAATGACTGGATTTGGATATCATAATGTCCTATCTAATTACATGAATAACAACTAAAGTTCCATATCGCTGTAATAATTTGTTGAAGGGAGACGTCGTGAAAAGATATATTGTAATGACAGGAACCTCTGAAGGTCTGTCATGAAAACACAGGAATAAAAGTAGTGCAGCGCCCCCTATTCTGCCAATATGCTCGCTGCAAACTATTATGCCTTTGATTATACTCCTAACACCGTGCCCTACCCATAGCTAGATGCAAATAACAAAAAATCTTTTCTTGTGCAAACCGCTCAACCTTCGATATGGGAAGACTTCCCACCTTGTCCGAGTAGTTGTAATGATCTTTGAGCAAGTTGAATAACTTCTCCTTCCCCATCTTCTTCGCCTTCGTCGTCGGATTCAATTTGCTTGTCGGAAATAGTCTTAATCATTTGTACAATCTCTTCTGATTTTCCAATCAAGCTTATTAATTTTTTATCCTCGGATTCCAATAGTTGTAACAATGTCCAGATTGCGATGTGTTGGAAAGTCGGATCTCCGCTAGCGAGGAAACGTTTTAGATAACCGTGAATACCTCCGAATGGTTCTGTCCAGGCTTGAATGAAGATAGAGTAGTCACCGACTATAATTAGTTAGCATTGAAAACTTCAAGCATGATCCCATAACTAAAACTTACCCTTGGACGACAAGTTACCAAGAGCTGCAGCACTGTTGCCTTGGACTTCGATACTCGGGGAGTCTGTCAATGGAATAAGGACATCGAATACACCTAGGTTGAGAAGTTGAGTCTTAAGATCGTCACTTAAGGCCAATACAGCGATTGCAGCAGTCATTTCCGATTGAACACTAAGGGCGACCTCCAGAACAAGTTGTTTGCATTTTTGCACAGCTCCAGCTTGTAGAACAAGCTCCTTGTTTCGATCAGAACTAGCAGCAAGGTTGCGAAGTGTCGATATGGCGTGGCATTGAATTTCTTCATTATCGGTGGAACCCAGTAGATCTACTAATGGTTTTAGAAAGCCGGCATCAATAATTGGAGATTCGTTTAATGGATGTATCGATATGTTGCGTATGCAAGCGACAGCAGAAAGTATTAATGGTAGATAGGAGGATTGTAAAAGTCGTAATAATGGAGCTAAACCGCGAGCGCGCACAATTTCTAATTGATACTTCTCATCAGAAGCAAGATTTCGCAAGGCCAAAGCTGCTTGGCACTGGACTTTAGGCGAGGAGGAATCCATCAGGTTCACAAGGGATTGTATGAGTCTGTTCTCGTTCAAGGCGAGCTTCTTGCGGTTATTAGCATCAACAGCGATATTACTCAAAGCTGTTGTACAGTAGTATTGTACATCTACATCAGAAGACGAGAGGAGTTGTACGAGGACGGGTATGGCACCAGCATTAACCAGCTGCTGTCGGTTCTCATCTAAATGATTTCAGTGTTTGTAAATGCTACGCCGAGAAGGTTACTGCTTACCAGAATGTGTCATGTTCAATAAAGCGCCAGTAGCATTTCTCTGCACACGCATATCTTTAGATTTAGCTAGACGAGTAAGAGGTCCCAATGCCCCTGATCGTGCGATCTTGGCCTTGTTATCCTCGTGTGTCGCCAAATTGGTGATACAACCGACCGCGTTACATTGCACCTCGACATTTGGGGACATCATCTGTCTGATGAGAGGCGTAAGCCCCCCAAGAAGTACGATTGCTACTTTGTTTTCCGCTGCACTCTTTGTTAGCTTGACTCATATCACAGGGGAACATAACCTACTGTTAACTGCCAAATTTCCAAGAGCTGCGCTAGCCGCTCGTTGTACCTCGATATCGGGACTTTGCAAAAGGAAGAGTATCGGCTCGAGGGTGTCTCTATCTACTTCACGAACATCTAGAAGGCGTCAGTAATAAATCCCCTGCACTAACGATAATCTAATCCCGTCCGCTCTGAAGAGCCGCCATTCAAGTAGTTGCATGCGAGGCGGACCACTATTTCCACAGGTCATACATTTCGCCCGAGTCCAACATTGTGTACTCGCATCCATCCAGGTATATAACAAAGACGTACCTCGTTCCGTTATCTCAGCAAATGTCAAACTAGCACTTCGCTGAAGGTCGACATTATCAGAAAATACCAATGTACTCAAAGCTCGTAGAGGTTCCCCGGAGAAAAAGTCGGTCTCGCCGCGCTGGATGATCATTAGACATCGAATTTAATATTAGTCTAGGCTCTTCTTACATTCTCTAGGTATTGTAAAAGGTCTGCCACCGCTTCTCTTTCGCTTTCTGCTAGCACTGGCTCATATAAGCCATCTCGGGATTTACCTGCACAGTCCAACGATAAGTAAATAATTCCACAAGACATGATTCTTTTTTCGACGCATACCTCCGCAGCAAGAAGAGCAAACACCTCCCATTTCTTAATGTTGGTCCCGTAGGACTGGTGAGCGTAGAATGTAGGGTCGGGATCAAATTGTGTTTGTTGGAATGAAATGTAATGAGGGCGATGAATCGAACAAAGCGAAGCTACAGGAAGGGGAAATGGCGTAAATTTCGATTGCGGATTATATTAATGGAAGGCTCGATGGCCATTCGTCGGGGAGTAGCGATGTGAATTAAAGAATTGTTCTGGATGTTGATAAAAGGAAGGAATGGTCGAGGATTGAAGATTGAAGATTGAAGGTTGATGAGTCGAGTTTGAGTTTGAGTCTGAGTCGAGGTGAGTTGAGTTGAGTTGAGTTGGCGGGAAGCTTTTTGGTTTTCTAACACAGCTTCGGTCTTTCACTTTCCTTAGGTAATTGTACACCACCGCCGGCTTGTACACGCTACACCTGGGCATGCTACAGAAGGCTACGCACGGACCACAGACCAATGTAGTCGACTATGACGGAAAGAGAAAGGTCGAGGAATAATAATAAATGGATCCCTGTTCGAGTTTGTTAGGTTGCGAGGTTGCTTGTACTAGGTGAGGACGGAGGAGGAGGTGACTCGATTTAACCTTGGAACCTTGGAACCTTTGAATGATGTCTGTTTGATGAGAAATGAGTGAGGAATGAATTTTAATTTCTGATATAATTTGCTGTAATTTGCTGCAATTTGCTACAATTTGCTACAATTTGCTATAATCTGCTACAATTTGCTAATAAGGTCTCATGAACAATTAAACAACCGTACCTACCTAGGCACGTAACCTCCTTTGTATGACAACCTCGCTCTCTTCTCTCTGGTTGAGTGTTGCGTGCTTACTGGCTCCTATCTTGGTATCGTATCTCGGTCAGCAGCATCAATCAACTTGTACCGCTACATCGTGGATTTGGTCGATCCCCTGCGAATCTCCAGCCTCCTCTTCCCGCAACGAAAGAAAATGGAGCCTCGCGGCTAAAGGTGACTAAAGATATCCAATAGATAGCATGGACGATATGCTCGGGAGGTTTATCTATGTCGCTATCGGTATAGATAGTTGGGTACGGAGCAGCGACGAGAAGAATTGAAAACTCTTCCATTGGAGAATGACCAAGTGTCTCAGATTTTGTATATAAAATCAAGTTAAGTTGACAAACATACTACCATACCTACTCGGTAGAGTTACCCAGTAAGTAATGATGGAACCACTTTCACTCTTCACTCCTCGCTCCTCACTCCTCACTCCTCACTCCTTATCCGATGATACCATACGGGCACATCTTCATCTCTCCCCATCCTCGACATCCTCGACATCTCCATTCCAACAACCATCTACCCAGCACGAGTACACATCCTCCCATTGATTCTTTGCTCCCTGAACCTAGGTAGTGCGCTCGTAAGGCTATCGATTAAAATAAAGATCAGAATGTCACCACAACACAACACAACCATGCACAAACAGCATAACATTCACGTCGTGACAACTCAATTGCTCAAGATGAGGAAAAGCCATACACAAAACAACACTCGTTATCCTGGGATAAACAACCCTTCGATTCAATGAAAACCTTTCCAAATCGACTTATCGCGTATCCACATTCAATTCTGGTACACCACTCTACGAAGTATCCATTTACACCGATATTTTGCCCCAATAAAAAAAAGATGCAAACGCATACACCCACTTGAAGCCTCACCAGCATAACCAATGGATGCGGCATGGTTAATTCTCAAAGCCGGGTACCAAAACAGCAACAGCGAACTGTTTTATATCGACGTGTTTCCCTAGTGATGGTTCTAATTCTCAAAGATCAACGAGGTGGATGTACAGAGGGGTTTCATCCATTGACATCTTCCACTTCCGATTATGCAAGATACTGAAATCATCCTGTCATTAAGCAATTTGGAGATAGCCACCCACGCCACCATTCTATTTATTTTCCGAGGCAGGTGCAGGTATCTTTTTAGCCACAGAAACTCTCAAATTCGAGTTCATGCATGTAGGTCAAAGTACAGGGAAAGCAACTTCAACAAGCATTGGTCGGTCATCCTAGAAGAGTAAGATGAGTGGTGAACGCTTAGGTATGCTGCTATTCAAACGGCCTCTTCATCATTCAAGAGGGGATCTCTGGGGGGGTTATTCGAGAAGATTGTTCTAAAGCTACTCCAGAGCTCAGCGTCTTTTCAATTGAACTGCTGGAGTTTGATAATTTACGCTCGTGACTACGAATAATCGTCCATCCGAAGTTTAGATAAGATAGAGGCAAGCCGCCCCGCCCCATCTTTGAGATAACCCAATCGAGAGAACCATATCAAGTCAAGCTCATACCTTGGGCGATGATTTTTTCTTTCTTGTGAAGAGATTTTCAACTACTCCGGTGCGAGGTATGAGTTGGCATCGTGAGAAAATGTCTTTGCATTTCAAAAATGGTGTAGTAAGTGGATACTCAAAGGACTAATCCGGGGAAGAGAACCGAGCCTTTCATGGGAATCCGAAAAGGGATAAATACATAGACCCAGAATGATAACCGAACATAATGTACCGTATAGATTCGATTCTTGATATATATGTACTGAGGGAGTCATGATAGGAAGATCGAGCTGCTTCCCCTCAAATAGTTTTATGCAAATTACAATTATACTCTGTAGTCTTTGACAAAAATCTGGTCATCTTTGGGTTCCTCTTACACGAAAGCTTCCAGGTTGCTTCCATTCCATTGAGAAGAGCTAGACGCGCGCTGGGTATGTGTATACATCTTTAGCTATCTGGAAAGATGACGAAACACTCAAGGTTCCCCTCAATCTCGCATTGGAAAGATGTTGACATCTACCTATCTAATATCTAAGTATAGGTAGGCCATGAAGGATGGATAAAATTATTGCTCTAATAATAAATATACTGGCCTGGTAGGCTCGGTAGGGAATACTCGAGCAAGTACCGGTATCTAGTACGATGATGAAGGGGTAATTCTCGATATTCGTGCACACATAGTCGTTTACCAATGAGTTGGATTTGCTCGAATATGTTGACTCGAAATAGGTAGATCAGGAAAGTTTATTGAGTGATGACGCTCCGCTGGGCCACTGCCGTGGAGGCCTTTTCGCACCGCTCTACGATAGATGATCTTGATCGGTGAATACCTACCTAGTACCTACCCACCTGGGCAGCTAGATGTATGTATTTCATTTCGACATCAGACCTTACATACTTCATATACTTCATATACCTACTTCAAATATTACGGTAAATAAAGTGACACAACAATGCAGAAGCTGAAACAGGTCAAATTTTGGCTGATCACATATATAAAATTCCCCAGAAAATCTGCCCCACCTTCGTGACTTTTGTTCTAGCTTTCAAAGTTCAACCCACCATTTCCAAGCTTTGCGACTCAATATTATCCATCTTCCTACGATACAGTACAACATACAACCTTTCTCATGATTCATACTTCAATTTAATTCTTATTGAATTTTCGGCCAACTTTATCTTTGTCCCTCCCCCCCCAAGATCAATGTGCTCCCCACGAATTGTCCCAAGCATAATCCATGTCTAATATGGCAGAAGAGATGCAGCCAGCGGCGCCCAATCCCGCAGACACCTTCACATCACAACCACCGGCTGTCGCTAGACATGATCACGAGTCGCGCATAGCTCAACCTTCTACATTCCTCCTTCCAAGAGTGAAGATCGCCGAGATGCAGCAAGAAAAGCCGCTGGAGGAACCGCCGCTGGAAAAGCCGATGAGTGCGCTCGACAAGGAGCAGCAAAAGGGTCTGGTAAGATAATTCCCGTTATCGCTTGTTCCATCAGGGTGGTCATATAAAATCATTCATAGGATGATCGTGGGGGTTTTGTACTTCGAGTATCACACGAGGCTGACATACTCAATTCAACAGAAATCGATTCGAGATTTCCTCAAGCGCCGTACAAGTTACGATGTTCTACCTCTTTCCTTCCGACTTATCATTCTAAATACCGATTTACTTGTGAAGAAGAGCTTGACTATTCTCCTACAAAATGGTATACAATACCCCAGGCCATGTCAGATCACATCTCGTCGCTGATCTCTGAACTTTATAGGTATCGTTTCAGCCCCGCTATGGGATTCGCACACCTCAACTTTTGCTGGTCTTCTTACAACTTCGGACTATATAAATGTCATCCAATACTACTGGCAGAATCCGGAAGCTCTCAATCAAATAGACCAATTCAAGTTGAGTAGTTTAAGAGGTAGGGTCTGCGACTAGGGTTGGTTGAGCGTCAGGCTGAATGAATCACAGATATTGAAAAGGCAATTGGCGTACTACCTTTGGAGACAGTATCGGTACATCCGGCACGACCTCTTTATGACGCCTGTCGACAAATGTTACAAACCCGCGCCCGCCGTATTCCACTTGTTGATGTCGATGACGAAACCGGAAAAGAGATGGTGGTTAGTGTGATTACACAATACCGCATTCTAAAATTTATTAGCGTCAATGTCGATGAGACGGAATTCCTGAAGAAAAGCGTTTCGGAACTCAAGCTGGGGACATATGGCGACTTACAAACCGCAAATATGGATACCCCGGTGATCGACGTCATACACATGATGGTCAAACACAGCATTTCGAGTGTTCCCATTGTTGATAAAGATTCACGAGTCCTTAATCTTTTCGAGGCTGTTGATGTAATCACAATCATCAAAGGTGGAGTATATGATGGGTTGACGTTGACTGTGGGAGAGGCGTTGGCAAACAGAGCGGAAGATTTTGCAGGGATTTATACATGCAGCGAGGAAGACAGACTAAATTCGATCTTTGACACGATTCGAAAATCTAGAGTGCATCGATTGGTGGTTATAGATGAAGAGCAGCATTTGAAGGGAGTGATCTCTTTATCCGATATTCTGCAGTACGTACTCCTTCATGGAGAAGACGACGATTGAGCCTATCCGATATTGGCAATGATACTACGGGGACGGATGGGCGTTGCATAGCGATTTGGCGTACAGGCACAAACCTGATCTCACTGGTCATAAAATGGCCACAAATAGATGTGATTGGGCGATTTATTCATATTCGTTAATACCATTTTATCGACTGCGGATTAGGGGTAACATGGCAAGTTTGGGGAATGGCTTGTGAATATTTTATGGATGATGGGCAGTAAAGTACTTACGATTCAGGAAATTTATCTTTTTTATAATGTTTTGATGGAATACTGTGCATTTCCAATTAACTGAAAGTTTGGACAATTCTTTTGTGGATTTATCACTCTGGAAGTCAGGATCAACTTTAAACGAACCTGTATAGTGGTTCTCCGAGTAAGTATTTAACAGTCTGGACTAGCAGACCAGATGTGTGCTTTGAAAACTTGAGATGCTATAGAGGCAGTTTTCTCAAATAGATTTGATCTTTCAACGGAATTCAATCTTTTGGCTCATTTCGATTCTTTGGTTGAATTCAAGAATCAAAAGCTTCTCGTTGAATTGCACCTCGAAAATTTGCACATCTCCACGGTTCCTCGTTGGGGTCCTCACTCAAGTTGACTACCAAGTAATTGTAAGTCGCGGTTTCTTCTTCTGTCGATGATAGAAAATTGCACCTCCCTAGTGAGTGGCCTCCTTGTGCAAGAACAATCTTTCTGAAAGTCAAATCTGTAATTTTTGTTGGCACATCGAGACAGTTTCCTGAAGAGCCTTTTTTTAATACAAATGACAAGCAACAATTGTTGATTGTTGATTGTCTAGGAATTACCTGGACAATCAAAATGCGACCTAATCGTCTCAATTCTAGAGCATCATCAGCTACTTTATCCCTCAGACGACAGCAAGATGTCGCAACCTTATTCGCAGATGATTCTAGTATCGCTCAAAACTTACTACGAGGTCAAGTAATCCCTATCAGAAGAGCATCCATTAGAGCACTTCCATCGGATCCAAATATTTCTTTAGTTTTAGCAGGAGATGGCCCTTCGGTCGCCGACGAGCCTTCAGACGTAGTACAGCAACCAAGGATTCGACGTGGTCTTTGCAGCAGTAATACCTGGACTTCCTCAAGTGCAGGGGGCGAGTCTGAAAACGACGACTTGGATGATCGCACGCATTTTATAGAAGAATTCAATCGACTGGCGGATAAGGTATGCAAGTAGATTGTTTAAGCGTGGAGAAGAAAGCTGATGATCTTTAGCACGGCGTACGAAAATTTATTCCCAGTGAATACGAGGATATTCCTGTAAGTTGGCCATTACGTCCGGTAACCTCAAGTACTTACTTATAGAATCAGTGTATCGAGGATGGACCTGATAAGCATGGTAATTGGTTATCCAGAAAGCTCTTCAGGCGGACGTCCTCATCTCAGACACCCGTCGTTAAATCTAAGAAGGCAGAGCGACGGGATCTCAAGAAAATGCGAAGCATTAGCGATTCGTTACGGCTGAAGAGCAGAAGAGACTCACTCAAGGATAGAGATCTGGTAGAACTTGTTCGTTTGTGCGGATCAAGTCTGTTATACCTTCCAGCCGAATATGCTGCGAGTAGCTTAACTTTGCCAACTTGTATTCGTGCTACAGCTCAATATTTGATACAGCATGGTATACCACGAATTACATTCCGCTTTACTGTTTCTCGTGCGCTAATTGATGTGCAGCTCCTACCACCCGTGGCGTATTTCGTATACCAGGATCTCAACACACGATTAGCCTCATTTATGAACATTATTGTTCGAAAGGAGACGAAGGACATATTGCGGGAACAGTAAGATGTCCGACTTTACCAGACCATATTGACTGTGATGTGCATGACGTTGCGTCTGCGTTCAAGAGATTTCTCTCTGGTATCCCTGGTGGTATTTTGGGGTCACTTCCATTATTCGACGCCCTCGTCTCCATCCAAACACATCTTAGAGGCGATCCAGAAATGACACGAACTAAGCATAGTAAAGTTCGAGCGAGACTTATTGCTTTGTCTATCTCGACTTTAAGGTCAACATATAGGCGAGAACTTATCTGTGCAGTCCTAGGGTTACTCTGTATGGTTGGTCGTGCAGCGGAGACAGCGCGAAGGGAAGACGATCGGGGCAGGCCTCTTCCTACTTCAGATCTTATGGGCTATAAACCATTAGGGATTGTTTTTGGACCCCTACTTGTGGGCGATCTAATGGACAACTACAATATTCGCTTGGCCAATGGCCACGGTAGTTTGGTCCTCACCCCTTTGAGTCCACCAAAAACTAAGAAGGAAAGGAAAAAGCATAAAAGCGCAGAAGAAGGTGTTACTTTCAATAATCTAGTTGACAAAATCAAGGTTGCCGGTGAAATTACGGAAATGCTCATCACTCATTGGCGTGATGTAGTTCGCCATATGAAGAATCTGGAAGCTCTGACAGCCGTCCAGGGAAGCAAAATTATGGATATTCGAGGGAGGAAACCACCCATTTTACGTCCTTCGATGTCAGAATCTTTCTCCTTACGGAGGCCTCCCGACTGGACATATGACAAACCCAATAGGAATGCTGGCAGGAGTCAATCTCCAACACCGCCACAGCGTAGACCCTCACCTCGTTCATGTCCAAGGCATAGCAGCGGAGATAATACTGAACGACAGGCCACTGAACAGCAGGCACTTGATGACTACATGAATCCCTTGCAGTTTGATGCCCTATCAGTCACAAAACAACGATCGCGTCAAAGGTTGTCACCAGGAGAAGCTCTTAAGAACGCAAAATCTTCAAGTGCTCTTTCCACAGCTCTGGTAAAGGAGCATCCCGATGAAAATTATTTTGAAGATAGTGATCTGAGTTTCAAGCAAACCCCACAAAGTGTTAGACCATCTTTATCTATGAAAAATGGAAAAGATAATAATCAAAAGAGTCCAGCCGTAGAACATACTACTGAATGTCGTGTCAAAGGTATTGTTCGAAGGCTCGAGAGCGAATCTATTGAAATTGAAGATCTGTCACCTGTCAGAGATCCCAAGGACTTGGGACATGACAAGAAATTGGACACACAATCAAGCCCACTATCACTAGACTCGCATCCGAAGAAGATCAAGAAGACTAGCTCATCTTCTCTCTTACAGGACAACGATCAAAAGCATATGCAAGTCTCTGCGCCAAGCCATCATGATACCCCATCCAACAGAGAAAATCATATCAGATTTGCGCCAAGCACATCCCATGCTCAGGATGCCAAAGATTCTCGAAGGCGTCAAGGATTTACAGGCTCTGATTACTCCAAGGGAAATAGCCCTAAGGATCCACTTTCTAAGGTCTCACATGAGGATGACCTAGCATCCTTAGCTGTGCTGGGACAAGCCCTGGAATCGCCTGGTATATCGATGAAGTCCGAGGTAAAGTCGATAAAGTCTACCGAGAAATCTGATAACCCGACGAAATATGATTCAGGTATAGGTTTCAACGAGAAAATAGAGGCAGAGAAACCAGTTGAGAAACCTAGCACACCGAGCTTTTTACGTCCCCAACTGTCTCGCCAGAGTTTTCCTGATACGCCAAAATCCGCAAAGGTTTATGTGCATGATGACCGGTCTGGAATTAAGAGCAATGTTTCGCGAAAAACTGATTCTGCTGCACCTGTTATTACAACATTAGTGGAGCCTAAGGTTATCCAGGCGAAAGGAAAACCTGCTCATGAAACGGCTTCACCTGCTACCTTGTCAAAAGTAGCCTCGATCAGAGAAATGTTTCGAAAGCGAAAGTCCGACAGCCGATCATCAAAATCAACCGAAGATAACCACAAGAGTGAGCCTTCTAGGCCAGTCACAGAGAATCACACGGAACCCCATTCACGAAAGATTCCCACTCCCGAGCCTGCTCGAACACCTAAGAAGGTCAGTGTTAGGGCCATGGCAGAGAAATTCGATACTGTGAAGGCAACAACTCCTCTATCGTCATTAGCCCCAGTCAAATCTACTATACCAATACCTATAACATCGGTCGATAATCGAAGAGGCGAGGGTGTTATCTCGCCTTATACTATCAATCCGCCACCATCGCCAACAAGATCAATTGCATCTTTCAAATCTGGAAAGTCTGTTCGTTCTTTCCGTAATACGGGCTTATCTCAGCGCTTTCAGCAAGCTCAAGAACATTCATCGCCCACCAAAATGCAAGCTCCTAAGAGAGTGTTGAGAGATTTTGTACCAGAACCTATCCCACCACAAGTCATAGTTGAGAATTCTCACGAAGACTCTGTAGCCTCATTGAGACGTCCGCTTTCTACCTCCAATTCTCTCACCGTTCCACTGAAACCAGTGAGTCATCAGCCACCTATGCCAACTAGACAAGCTGGAATGGATGGTGCATATAGTAGTATTGGCAATTCTGATATTCTGTCTTTGACATCATCAGAATTTGAAGCTGCACACACTTTTCTACAGTCACAATCGCAACTTGCTCACGATGCAACGCTTTCAAAGAATACTTTGACTCGTGGCAACACAGTCTTACACTCGCAGATACGCAGTCTCCAACAACAGGTATATGAAAAAACTGAACAAGTACGGCAATTGCAACGACGATTTGAAATAAGATCCAGCTCTGATACTGAGCATATCGGCTTGACAGAACAATTGAGAGAATCGAGAGAGGAAGTAGAGATGTGGCGAAGAAGGGCTGAAGCAGCCGAGAGAAAGTTGGAGCTGATGGATATTATTAGGGCTAGAAATGATTCGAGGATGGAGGAGCAGCGAGGACTCATCCATCAAGCTAAGAGTGTTCAAGCTGAAGATGACATTATTTCACATGGAAGAGGATATAGTGTTGAAGGTGGTACGAGGAGACTAATTTTGAGACGAAGGATGACTGGTACGATGAGCCCGGAGGACAGCACCGGGAGCAATGGTACTGTTGTTAGAGAGAGGAGTGGAAGATGCGTGGATGGAAGTGAGATTTGTGTGGATGTTAACACGGATGGGGTTATACATAAAGATTGGGCAAATCAGACACTTTCCATCCTGGATGGTTTTAAAAGTTGGGAGGACTGATGAATTGTGTTTTCGCTTTGGAATTCCCTTTTGGCAGTTGACAGGAAAAGTGATAAATTAAAAAGAGAAAGGGGCGATGGGCGATGGGCGATGCTATCAGAAGGACCCCGATTTTGATTTCTGCTTGTATTATATTCATATGTTCTTAGGATGAAAGAGACAATGAAATAGAATTTTTGGAGGAGAGCTGTCAAATATTATTCGGATGAGACGGAAGTTAGATTATTCATTTGTTTTATAGAAAGATATCAGACTGGAATAGCGAAATTCATGTATTAGATATGGGTATAGCATTCACTTGAAATTTTTTATTCTTGTTTCATTATCATTCTTTACCATTCACTTCCTAATGGCTTAAATCTTAGTTTTCGCTTACTCGCACCTTCAAATTTTCTTCCTTTGGTCCATTTAAAGAATTGAGGTCGTGGGAGAGAAATCCAGATCGATCTTCCGACGTCTTTGACTTTCTCACAACACAACAACACAACATCATATTGGCAAACAAACAATTGTCTATGGATAGCTAGCGGTTACGACTTTTTTTGATTACTACTTTTTTCTATCATATTCTTTCGAGAACGCAAAGGCTTTTTGTTTTATAAATAAGAGACGTTGTGTGCGGAAGGGAGGAAAATTGATCCACGATTTTACGGAGACTACAACTTGTTGAATTCTTAGACTTCTGATCTCTTTAGAAGAAGTAATACTGTCGATATTTCCATTGTCGAAATTTGGGAGCGGTACTAGCATCAACACGGCATCGAATCATTTATTTCGAATTACTTCTTGTCGATCTTGCATCCTGCGACTTTTTTTGCAGATTGGGAGAGGAGATACACGGATTGCGAGTAACAAGCGCCAGTTATCAGTCTGATCTGAGTATATCTTCGAGAGCATGCAAAGACACGGATCGAATACGAGAGATGACGAAGAATAGGATGGCGGTTACGGGGAGAAAAGCTTCTTCTTTTGGGGGAGTCCCCGCGGCTGGGCGGGAGGGGGATGGGATTGTATATTCGGAATTGGATAGGATGAGGGAGATTAGAGATCGAGGGGAGGAGATGAAGAAGAAGAAGAAGAAACAGGGCGCTAAAGAAGTTGAGGAGGAAGAGAAAGTGTGGGTTCATTGGGAGAGATGGGGACTTAGTGTTTGGTTGGGTATGTTTTTTCTTTCTTTTTTTGGTTGACTTTGATTTTATTTGACTTCAATACGAAGATTTACTTCAGCAAGTTTTTTGTTCACTCAAAATGATCATCACGAAGATAGATGAATCAAGCTAACCCATCCATCCACCCAGTCATCTTCAACATCATCTTCGCCATCCCCGTCTCGTACCTCATTGCCAAATACGCCATTCCGGCCCCCTGGCGCTGGGCGGTATTTATCCTCTCTCACCACGCGCTTCTCGCTTGTGCATATGAATTCGCGATGAATGTGAAAGAGCGCATGGTGGAAATGGCGATTAGGGAAGCAGAGGAGGAGAGGGAGTTGGAGCAGTGGGATGATGTGGTTGCGCAGTTGGAGGGGGTGTTGGAGGAGAGTAGGAGGAATAGGAGGGTTATGGAGGGGGTGGTGGAGGGGATGGGTGGGGTGGGGGATGAGGAAGAATCTGAAGAGGAGGTGGAGGAGAGGAGGTAGAGGGAGAGAGGAATTGATACGGCGAGGCAGAGGGTAGGGGAGAAGAGGGGCGTGAGGATTGATATGGAACTTTTGAGTACGTTGAAGATGGAGAGACATGAGCTGTTGTATGAGGCGACTAGTTTTTTGCAAGAGGATACGAAGAGTGTGTGGTTTGGAAAATCGTGGAAATAATTGTGTGATGCGGAGGGGATTTTGAAGGATTAGATTTTCGGTACTGGAAGGGGGGGGTTTATTGGAGAGAGAGGATGGTTGGCGAGGGTGGGAAGTTTACTAGATGTGTAGAGGGATGAATGTGTAGGGAGATAGGCAAAGAACAGTTTGTGCTGGAGAAGGAGTGGATGTATTTTGTATCGACATGATATCTCTATTTCATGCAGTAAACAGAAAATAGATTTGGGGTGAAGCTCTATAGACTACTCTCTAATCAACCGTGTTCTCTCGATTCATGTGAAACTTTTGCACATTTGTGAAAACTCGCAGGGTATCCAATAATCCAAACTGCAGTCCAACAATACACCCAAGGATTTGAATACCTATCTAAAAGCAGTAAGAAATTTGAAAATAGTTCATCGATGTAATCAAATTCCACATCTTGAACGATTCGAATATTTCTAATTAATTTGAGAGTTTAATACCTAACCCTCATTATATATTGGACTGCAGTCCGAACTATTGGACACCCTAGCACGGAAGAGCTAGACCTACCTAGTACCTATTACTGAAGCCTCCCAATAGATTCTGCGCGGTACCTTGCATATATTTGGGACAAGAATATATTCTAACTTTCAGATTCCCCCCTCGCTCTCAGAATCAGCATTCAAGTTCTTGAATCAAACGATTCCCCGTTCGATTCATATTCCATCGTAACACACCCATCCCATCCATCTCATCCATCCAAAGCAACGCTTCGTCCCACATCAAGCACAACCGTTTACCCCATCACCCTTTCCGCATTCCTCACTCCCTTGAAAATAAACGGAAAATGCTCCATCACCGGTTTCGCACCGTGTCTAACTGCCAATTCTAACACGTGCCGATACTCTGATCTCGAAGCGGCGTTGCTGATGCGACATCTAAGATCTTTGATGAGCGAGGGAAGAAAGGGAAGGTCATGTCATCGGCTTGTAAGATAGCAATTTGCGACATTTGAGATGGATTTTTACATTACAAAACTAACTGTCTGTTGTGTATATGAAGCAGTCTGATTGGGTATAAATTGTGTATTTTGTTTTTGTGGTTAATTACTGGTCATGATATAGATTTGTAAAACACACAAGAGCATAGACAACCTTGAATTGTAATCACCATATTGATGGCTTTCTGCTGCATTGTCTACCACACAGAAATGTAAACCCAAGTGGTTTATGTGCCTATCAAAGGTGACCAGTCTTCTTTCCTAACATAATCTGCCCAAGTGGCCAATTTGTAACCATCTGGGAGGTACTACTGGGTTGTTAGCAAGAATCTTCTGAGACAAACCATAATCTTTACCTCTTTCGTCTGTACATGTCTCCCACTCATTAACATCGATTCTTCGTAGGGTAAGGCCTCAACGAGTTCTGTGCTAGCAACGACAGTATCTGGTGGAAGCCCGTAGCTCGATAGTCGCTTTGCATGCTGCTCAGAGGAAACTTGCTCAAATCTAGCTTTGATACCGAGTTCTTTGAATGATTTTAGGCACTAGGACTTCGAATTTGCAGAAGAAAACTTACCATCAGCCCATATCTTGAGTCTTTCTTCTTCTGGAATAGGTTTTCCAAAAAGCACAACCTGTCTTCCAAAGAATTTCTTCCCTCCTCTCAAGACTTCTCCGATTGCCATTCCTGTGTCCTCAGCATCGGAGCAAGGCACCCTAGTATCACCTGGATATGGCATTGAGAGCACAAATGATCCATTTGGCGCCTAGTCATTTTCCTTGTAAGTCATTCCATCAATACAAAGCCCAGAAGAAACAGAAATATACCTTATAAGGACCTAAGACCATTGGATACTTGACCCAATTTTGAAAGTAGAATGCGACAAACACCTCTGTAGTTTTTTCCCACAAACTCGGATAATTCTCAGCCAAATCATGTCGGATCAGTGCTTTAGCGTTATATGGCAAAATGTTCTGAAATTGACGTCCAGCTAATGTCCTTCCATCGGGTAGACTACTCAATATATAATGTTCGAGGTGAGGAAGTTTGGAAGCAATCCGATTAATAGTCTTGGCTTGAGCTACCTCAATATCAAGTGAGTTTTGCTCCCAGAAGTTAGTGATAGCAAATATGGCATGGGCTCCGGATAGAGCAGCCTTGATGGAGTCAGGAACATCATAATCGGCAGAGACAACTTCGGCACCACTCTTGGATAGAGCTTGAGCGGATGGCTTTGTAGGGTCACGGGCTACGGCCCGCACTCGGTAAGTATCAGAAAGATGCTTGAGGATATAACGGGTTGTGGGGCCGCCCTTGAGTCAGGATTGTTAGTAGCCTGCACTGAACTTAAGGGGTATGTAAGAGAGTGAATGCACTTGTGCACCAGTAGCCCCGAGAACAACGACAAGCTTCTTATCTGTCATTGTGAAATATATTCGAGAGTTATAAATTGTGTCAAACCTTTCGAGCTTTCTCGATATACAGGAAAATGATGAAACAACTTCCCTCCCCGCCAGACTGTACTTTGTCTAGTGTAAGAGGGCACTTACTCACGAAAACCTTAGGCACCGTGAGTTGATTACTGGTTCAAAATATGCCCGTTCGCATATGTCATTTTCAGTGGACAAAGAGCAATCCAGTAAATGCGGCAAAACAAAGCATGACTTGCATGTGATCCTAGTCCTAGTGAAGATCACTTTCCGGATACTACTCCGTAGGTACTCACCCTATTACATAAACTGTTTGGATTCAAAATGTTCGTGTGAACGAGTATACGAGACCAGACATGACTCTTCAGATCCTCCTCCGGTGAGGATAAGATCAACCACATGTGCCTTAGCAAAAGCGATTGTTATACTCCTGAAGCACCAAAGTAGGGACTCTTTATGAATGAAAATCAACTCGGGTCCATAGGTCTGGAGGAAATGAAATCAAATTCTGCACGCTGATAATATTAAACGTGTGTTGTTTTCTTGTTGGACTCCGTGCTTTTCAAGAAGCTCCGGTGGCTTGATGTGGCAGATGCTAGCGTATTCGGGTATGCTAGCACTATTATAGCTAGCGTTGTGTTTTTCGGAGATCTTTCCCCACAAACACCGATCAATTTTCTAACCTTACTCCCACCTCATTTTCGATATCAGAACAACAAATAATACTGATTGCCCAAGTGGAGATCAAGAGTGTCAAGGGTGTCAAGGGGTTCAAGAGAATACCTCAGAAAAAGTAATATGCATTCTTCGAATAGAAGATGTCTTTGACAACTCCGCGGAAGATTCAATATTCTACCATTTATCCAATTGAATGCAGCCAAATATCGTCCCTTTTAAATGTTCAGTGGGTGATTAATCTTACAATATCACCTAACCCCGATACTTTGTCAGATTTTAGTCCGACAAACATCTCCGAAACCCCATGAAGTCACATTATCTCCTGCAAATATTGCGCAGAGACGCGCCTAATTATCCAACCCTTGGGAATGTACCTTGAAAAGGTACTTCCAAGACTTCGTCTGACCCTATCAAGACCAGCAAGAATCGCGAAATTCTTCGGGTTATTGAGCAGTTATGGCCGATCCAATTCATTCATACTCCTTCTGCTTTCAAATCTGGCACGGAACCATACCGTTCGGTATTGTGCATTTCAAACAGGCTGGAAGCACCCTTGCCATGTCACCGTCTACTTATATAGTGGTATAAGTCTTTCGTACTCCCATGTTTCATAGTCTTCATTACCCTTGATCTTCTCAAGTTTGTCTACGCCTTTCATCTTCATACATCGTGAAAGCTGTGACTTTACAATGTCGTCAACTACAGCACCAGCTGTTCCCCCCACAATAGCCTCTTCAGCCCCATCCATAGACGACAAGCCCCAAAGACTTGAACGATCAGAAGATGCCTTTACAACAGATTCAGAGAAAGGCCCAGTAACTACCAGTCCACCACCTGAGCCTGAACAAGTGAGAACAGTTACTGGCTGGAAATGGATCGTCATTTGCGTTGGATTCTACGTCGCTACTTTCTTATACGGCTTGGACAACACTATCGCTGCTGATATTCAATCTGCTGTCCTTGGAACCTACGGTGATATCTCAAAGCTGTCTTGGTTGGGTACTGGTTTCCCATTGGGTTCCATTGCTACGATTCTTACTATGTTAGTATTCCTTAGATGTAACACGATCGTGCAAAAACTAACTTCATTGCTAGTGGTAAAGCATATGGCACTTTCAATGTGAAGTGGACCCATGTCGTTTCAGTCGTTATTTTCATCGTCGGTAGTGCTGTGTGCGGTGCGGCGCCTAACATGAATGCACTCATCGTTGGAAGAGTCATTGCCGGTGTAGGAGGTGCTGGAATGTATCTCGGAACCTTAAACTTGGTCGCCATCAATACTACCATTACAGAACGTCCTCTCTATCTAGGAGGTGTTGGTATCACCTGGGGTCTTGGAACGATTCTTGGTCCTGTCATTGGAGGAGCCTTCGCAGATTCAGGAGCAACCTGGAGATGGGTCAGTACTCTATCTTAACATCAACCTACATAAACTAACTATCCACCTAGGCCTTCTATATCAACTTAGTCATCTTCGCTATTGCCGTACCAGCTCTCCTTTTGATCCCATCATTCGATCCACAGCCCGATCTAGACGTCCTTCACAAAGTTAAACACGTTGATTGGATTGGAGCTTTGTTGAATGCCGGTCTCTTTACCTCATTCGTCATCGCTCTTACCTTCGGTGGCGCCAACTGGCCTTGGAACGATGGACGCACCATTGCCACATTCGTCTCCTGTGGTGTTATCTTCATCCTTTTCGCAGTCCAGCAACAATTCTGCATTTTTACCACACCCGAAGATCGATTGTTCC